ATTTTATTATTAACATCTACTCTAAAATACCATTATATTATGCAGTCCTTTACATTTGAGTGATGTGTTTACAAAAGCATAAGGGTCAAGTCCAACACAGTGCAAATGAAAAAAAAAAAGAATCTGTCAACTAAAAAATAAAAATTTAAACTGATAAGAACAGATGCCTGTCTTGGATCTTAGTCAAGAATCGATAAAACTAAAAATCTGGAGTACCATAAAAGCCAGAACAATTCCATACATTTAATGGTTATTTTTTCCATCTAAATGTGCAAAACAAAAGGCCTTATTTTCTACTGTTAAAAATAACCAGCCGATCTATTTCATTTCTTGTGACAAAGCCACACGAAAAGCTTCTCTTTGGAATGCTTCTGCCCTGAAGGAGAATCTCTCTTGTCACTTGTGTCAGACCTCAAACCTTAGACAGAGCTTCCTGTCAGCATTCCCCCATCTTACCTACATACACGTAAGAAGGGGGCTGACACTGCTAAAATGTCCCAGTAGGTGCTATTGGTGACCAGTGATTGTTACTAACAGTGGATCTTAAAAGCTGGGAGTTTCAGCAGAGTCCAGGGTCATAAAAGATGCTCCACTTGCCTGGTGGGTCCACCATGATTGCCAGACCCAGGGACGGCCTCCTTGAATGTGTTACACACAGAGTTCAATGTATGCAAACAGTAGTAACCCGGTTGTTGAAATCACACAAACATTCAAATGCCTCCTTAAGCTGGAATATAGGATTCAAGCCAAGATGATGAAACAAGAGGATGTCTGAGGCTAGGAGAAACAATTTAACTCCAATGTAAAACACTGACTGCCCCCTTATCCTTTCTAGCCCATTAAAAAGAGCATTTTGCCCATTAAAATGAACATTTATAGCCTGGCTGGAGTGACTCCGTTGGTGAGGGTCATCCTGTGCACTGAAAGTTGCTGGTTGGATTCCCGGCCAGGTCACCTATCTGGGTTATGGGTTTGATCCGTAGTCCGGGAGCTTACGGAAGGCAACCCATCAATGTTTCTCTCTCAAATCAATATTCTCTCTCTCTCTCTCTCTTCCATGTCCTCAGGTGAGGATTAAAAAGAAGAAATACATTACATCTATAAAAAGCCAAAACTAAATGCAACAGGTAAACCATTTTATACTCTTTTATGTTATATATATTTTAATATGTCAAAAAAACAATAAAATATATCAATGCCAATCAATCCCCTCTCTGGTTTCCAGCTTTTCTATCACTTGCACCTCAAAGAGTCCTGTGTAAAATATTCCTATGGTTGTAACTCCATTAAGGATAATGAAGGCAATGAATGAAAATATTCATTGTTATGATTAAATGTTAGAGCTGGAAGGAATCACTAAGGTTAGAATATCCTACACAACCCTCCCCTACTCCCACTCTTACCCTCCAAGATACAAACTGGAATCACTTTGCTAAGGTTCCAGAGACATTTAATGGCATAAACAGAAGAAAACCCTTCTTTCTTTTCCAAACATCAATGACCTAGGTATGTAGTTTTAAAACATCTAAATAGCCATGGCTAAGCAGAGAGAGTGAAATATAAAAACTGCCGAAGAGATTTACCAATATGAGGTCTCAGGTTTTCCAGAAGTAGAAGCCCACCACGGCACAAGGTTCATGTGATCTAAAGACCACAGAGCTAAAGTGCTTTGGCTGGGAATTCCCTGGAAAAGGGAAGAAACATATCTCCCAAGATTCGAATTAGCCAACATTAGCAGCAGAATTAGCAAACCAACAAAGAGAAAGACAAACAAGGATATCTGGGCTAATTTATAAAAATCTCGTGATGCCTTAAAATGCTGTTCATATTCACTAGTTAGCAGTTAGAGGAGAAACTGTTTAAAGGCACATCCTAATGGCCTCTGAGAAGATTACAACCAAATGGATTTTTTACTAAGCTGGAGCCTTGAATCATTTATATAATTTATTGATTGGCTGTTACTTTCGTTTCTGTTTGTATGGGGAGCTGAAACAACAAAAAAAAAACACCTTTTTTCTTTATACAAATTCTTATTTTAATAACCCTTCACAGTAAGACATAAAACTGGCAGGACCACCTGAGCCCTAATGAGCAGTTTTACTGCAAGACGTAAGATATTAGGGTAATCAATTCCTTCTGTCAAGCCACAGATGTACCAACTATCAGTTTAAGACTTTTTATTAGATGTTTATCAGCTTTTTTCTTCTTCTTTAAAAAATAATTTTAAAAAACAATAACAAGCACACACAGAAAGTGCCATTCTGCAGCTGGTATGCTTTAATCTTCACCTGAGGTCATGCTTAGAGAGAGGAAGAGAGAGAGAGAGAGAGAGAGAGAGAGAGAGAGAGAGAGAAACATTGATGTGAGAGAGAAGCATGATCAGTTGACTTCCGTATGTGCCGGGGATGGAACCCGCAACCTGGGTATCTGCATATTAATATATAATAATACAATATCTACAAATGAATAAAGAGATGTCTGAAAATATATACAAGACAAGAGTAATAGTGAGAAAAACTCACAGACACAGACAATAGTGTGGTGATTACCAGAGAGAAAATGGGGGTTGGGGGAGGTAGAAAAGGGTAAAGGAGTGATAAATGGTTATGAAAGGAGACTTGACTTAGGGTGGTGAACACATAATACAATATACAGATGATGCATTACAAATTGTACAACTAAAATCTATATAATTGTATTAACCAATGTCACCCAATAAATGCAATAAAAAATAAAATTAAATTATTTTTAAAGGAGTAATAGTGGTTATCTTTGTTGGTGACATGATGGATGATTTTTCAGTTTCTTCATACATTCATGCATTATCAAAATTTTTTCAACGAGCATGCTATCCTATAATTGTAAGAAAAAATAATTAAAACTATTTTATGAAAAAGAGAAGTAATACATGCTTATTGTATATATTTTTCCACTTTAACATTTTACTACATTAATTCTTCAAAACATAACTTTTAAAGCTGTTCAACATTCCATTACACTGATCTCCCAATTTTACCATTTCTCTACTATGGAGACTTAAGGATTGTTTCTAATTTCTTATTGTTAAAAACAACAACAGTGCAATAGATTCCTTCTACCTGAATCTTTACATGCCTCTCTGGTTACGCCCAAGAGCTGGAACTCCAGTTTTGGAGTTACTGGATAAAAGTCAGGGATTCTAGAACACTGAAAAATTGCTGTCCTAAGACACTATGAATTCATGTCTCCATCATTAGTGAATGTGTGAGAGACCATTTCACTCTGCCCCTGAGAACTTGCCAAAGCTGTGTTTGCATGCCAAGCTCCATAAATCAAACAAGTAACAAAAACAGACATACTAACTTCATACAGCAACACATCAAGGCACAATCAAGCTGACTTCACATGTCTTCGACTTCGCACAATTTAACACGTACGGGCCTTACTCCTCTTCATTTCCCTTTACCTTCTGAAAGTTCAAATTTCTTAGCCTGTCAACCAAAACCTACCTCTTTTCACCTTGTTCATCTGGCTCCAGCCACTCTTGCCTTCTTGCTGTTCCTCAAACACATTTCACACGCTCTGCCCAAATCTTTTGCCTGGATCCACAGGGCTCACCCTCTCACTGACTTCAGCCCTTTGCTCAGAAGTCCCCACTCCCCACCGACACTGTGCGAATTAGCACCCCCTTCTCCAGCCTCCCTGGCTATTGATTTGCTCTGTTTTTCTCCAGCATTGACACACTATGATTTTTTTTATTATTTTCCCAACATTTTCCGAAATTAAAAAAAAAATCCTCCAAGGCACTGCCATCCCAATTTGTACAAACTATAAGTCTGTCTCCTTATCATAACAGGAAGCAAGATCAGCTCTAGCACAACTTATTTCTAAGCCCTCCCTCCTACAATCGTTATACTGATGTCTTCTCCATGTTGGCCTCTGCCCATGCGAATACCCACAGTCCAATGCTGCTCACTGAGGAGCTCCGTCCGCTCTGCCCTCTCCGTGCAATAACCTTTCGGTCAAGATGCTGCCCTTTGCATCTACCTTTTCACCTTCATTGCACCCAGGTTCTGTGTCCTCTACAGCAGCCAAATCCACAAAGATCAGTATAAATATAATCAGATAATTCCTACTAAGGTGTGTGTGATTCAGTAACTAAGAGAAAAGCAAATTCTTGGAGTTTCTAACTGGAAAAAAAGAAAGAGATAAAAATATGTATGGCTTGTGTTCTTAAGACATTTCCATTCCATTTATTTCTTCAAATTTTGCCATCTCTTTTCTTTTGTCTTAGTCTTTCCTCCTGAAAAGTCTTATTATAGTTTGACATTATCTAAGAAGCATCGATCTCCCTTGTGTTTGTCATGCCATTTAGCACTGACCTCCTCCCTCTGAACAGCAAAGGATGCCTCCTTCTGACACTCCTCCTCCCTAAGCAAGTGTTTTTCTACCTCAGTGAGTCTCCATTTCATATTGGATTTCAGCCTCTCCTTCAAAATGTATTTGAAAGCTGCCTTTCCACATATCACTTCCACCCCTTGTTTCCTACAGGGACTAGGCATCGGATCCATGCACTCGGTCCTACGTAAAATGCTGGCTTTTAGATGTCATTACACACTTCAATTATTTTCAGGAGTAACTACTTGAAGATAAAAAAAAATATCTTTTCAAAAAAGACAACCTCGATGTTGTTTATTTTCCTCTCTCATTATAGTAGGCAATGCAACGTGTTTGCTTTCTTATGTTGTATATAAAGACTATTTCATGGCTGCAATGAACTAAAAACATTTTTAATTTCATTTTTCCTTGAAATGTAAAATAAAGGCAGTGAATGTTTAAAGAACCATATGTAACAACCTGTACTATTTTGATGGTAGAATTATTTTTAAAACAAACAATGATACTTTTCTACATTCTACACCAAAATTTCCTGAGATGCCCTCAGCTGCTCACTGCCACATGATATATGAAATATTTCCTCAGAATGAAAACCTTCCTTAGGTCCATGAAAGACTACTCACCAGACTTCTTTGCTTTCAAAGCAATGACAGCTGCTAGCTCTCTCTGCACCTAATAAAATATTAAGAAAAAAATCAATTAGAATAAGAAAAATGTAGATATCAAAAGCAGTACTTTGTTTTTATATATGCAACCCAAATTAAGAGCTATAACAATCAGAGCTAAATTTGCTGCCACTTTTTGGGTTTTTGTTTGATTTTAGTAATGTGGAAAAACCTCTGCATAGAAATTTTAAGCTAAAAAGCTGAAAGAATCATAGTGATCAAAAAGAAATTAGATGGTTGCCAGAATGTATCATGAAACATTGGTATTTTTGCTGTACTTATGGGAAGAACTTCAAAAATATAATTATCAAACACTTAGAAGTAATTCAAATAACAAATTATTAAAGCAGGCATGTATGTTGGCAAAGATAGAACTATTATTTATCTCTCAAAGATTCTAGCTTACACAGAAATTCTACAACAATTAAGATGGGTGACCCTGGTTTAACTGGACCTCTGCCCAAACACAATAAACGTTCATTTGAAATCTGACAGGTTTCCAGCAAACAGTTCAGAAAATATGCCACATAAAAGCAAGTGCTACCGAGTCACAGGGTAGGTGGAGTAGGAATAGACAAGACAAACTTAAAAATCCTAAGTGCTGTAACACCCCCATTATTTGTCCAGATTTTTGCTTGCTCATTCTCTGTCTCTCAACCCCACATATTTGAATGCTTAAATCCTTTCCTAAAAGCTTTCCGGAAGAGACCAAAAAAAAAAAAAAGTTAACTACAATCACTTTCAAAGAAAAAAAGTAATGAAGATTAACTTTGGGAAATCTGTGTTGGGCAGCAATTAAATATTCCATAACAAGAAAGCTCATGCCCCTACAGGACACATTCTTTGAAGCTTAGAAGTGTGTGTCATCACACTTCTAAGGTGTGTGGAGGTGGTGGAGGTGGAGGTGGAGGTGGAGGTGGAGGTGGAGGTGGTGGTGGTGGTCGTGAGTTTGGAAGGTTCCTGATAATGAATTTTAAAGGGAGAATGTGGAAGTTCAAGGTTAAAGAAGATTTGCTGTTGAGATTCGTTTAATTTGTATTTATTTACTTGTAGGCAAAAGTAGCACAATATGCTAGACACTGGGACTCCACCTAGGGACCAGGTTCACGGTGGCCAGGGCATCCTCACCCGGAAGACGGTAGCTTCTGTGGCACTGCTCTGCGGCCTTGCTTTCTCTGGCTGGCAAGTCCCGGTGCCATTCAAAAGGGCATACCCCTTATCATGCTAAGTGAAATAAGTCAGTCAGAGAAAGACAGGTATCACATGATGCACTCACATGTGGGATCTAAGTAACAAAATAAACTGATGATCAGAGAGGATCCAGAGACATGGAAGCATGGAACAGAGTGCGGAATCTCAGAGGGAAGGCAGGGAGGGTGGGCAGGTGGGAGGTAATAAACCAAAGACCTTGTATGCATATATGCACAACCCATAGACACAGACAATAGAGTGCTGAAGGCCTGGGGCAGGGGTGGGGGC